CTTGCTGGTGAACAATTTTCTTGTTCTAATAATAATTAAAAAAAATTGTATAACTACTCATCAATAACAATTAAAAATAATGATATTAATAAAACTTGAATTTCCTTACTAAAAGATGGGTGGACTAGTAAATACACATCAAATTATTTCAGAAAAATAATTCAATCTTTAGAGAAAGGAAAATATAGAAATGAGTAGATCTTTATCAAAAGGCAAGGTGTACAAAATTATAGTTCAAATAAATAAATAAAAAGAAGTAAGAAAAGCCTTATATCGAGTTTATTTTTTTTCAGATAAATATTTTATGTAGTTTATTTTTTATTTTAAATTGTAAGAGAAAGTTATTTATTTTGTAGTTTATTTTTTATAATTGTTTTATATTATTTCTTTAGAAATAAAGATAAAAAAAATGAGAATTCTTACAATAAGAAAAAATTTGCAAGTATATAACATGAGTAATTTAAAATTGATTTGAAATATAAGAGAAAATTGATTTATGTATTGTTACTATTACTATTTTGTGGATATAATTGTGGTTAAAATTGGATAAGAGAAAAACATGTGATAATTATTCATTTAAATGTTGAGTTAGAATACACGGAAAGGTAACATATGAGAAATTTTTGTTTTTACATAACTTTCTCATGCTTGAAACATACATTTCCATAGTTTAAAACAATACTAATTGCTCTTTTTATCATTAATATCTTTAACTTTTACTTAATTTTCAATTAATTTACATATATACATTAATTATAATGTAAAGATGAGAAAGATAAAATAGAAAAGGCTGTAAATATTTTCTAAGAAATTTATTTGATTTTTTTTATTTTTTAAAATTAACTCTAACCAACAACAGAAGTAGAGAAAATAATAAGTACAGGAAAGGAACGACAAAACTTGGGCCTTGAAATTGAGAGGATAAGGAAAAGTGGGCCAGATTCAATCCGAGGCCGAAAAAGGACTATGGCTAACCATGTACACACACCTCCAAGCTCTTCCCTGCACTTCAAAATTTTTCAAAATACCAAAATTACCCCGTAATTAAAATGGTTTGAATATTTAAAAAAATTAAAGTGTTCAAAGATTTTTTTGCAGCAGCAGTGCATGGAGACGGCCGGCTTCTCTCTCGCGTCTCATTTTTGTGTCGTATCTCGTTATTAAGTTCTCTCTCCCTCTCCCCTTGCTCTCTTAGAACACTGTTTTCCATTCTCACACAACACACAACACTTTCGATTTGCTCTTTTTCTCTCCATTCCCTTATATCTTCCCGACTTTGATTGCATTTTGCAGACACACACAAACAGGAGCAGGTTGAAATAGATTTTCTCCTACAACCACCCACCCAATTCTCGCTGCAGCCATCCACGTCGTCTGCAACCACCCACACAGTTCTCGCTGCAGCCACCAGCGTCATCCCAAAGTAGATCATCTTATTATTTTTTTAAGCATTTGATTGCATTTGAGCATTGGTGTGTTCTGACATTTTTTATAGCATGATGAAAGATGAAAAATAGCATAAGAGTGGATTTACAGTGTTGTGGTGTAGATCGGATTTGGAGAGGCGATGGGGCTGAATCGAATGTAGATAACCGATTCAGCCTCCATCATCGCATTTTGACATCCGATGTAAATCGGTTTTCTTTTTAATGTTATTAAATTTATATTTAATGTTTAGTAAAGAGGTAGTTATATCTTTTGCCATTTAGTGTTCTGTTTTTTTTAAGTTATTTTGAATGTTTTAAATTAATTAATTAATAATTTATTTGAAATTTTCGATTATCCTATTTTTCAATTTTATTTTAATTAAATTGTTATATTTTAATAATTGATTTATTTATATAAAAATTTTAATTAAATTTATTTATTTTTAATGAAATAATAAATTTTATAGAATGTATAGTTATTTATTTCAAATAATATATTAAGGAATTAGTTAAATTCATTAATTTTTTTGTTTTTAATTGTTTTAAAGTTTTTTATTTTTTTTTATAATATGAAGCTATTTTGGTATATTTTTTCTAAAATATTAGATTTTTACCGATAGAAAGTAATAAAATAATTAAATAAAAAATATTATTAAACTTTTACATAAATTAGTAAATATTAGTCCGATGTCCACGTCCGAACAGGTGATCATAGGATTTTTACATCCTATTTTGGTAATTATTCTCATATATGATATTTTTATTTTAAGTTTTTTTATTCAAAAATAATTTTATTAATTTTAATACATTCATAAAATTAATTTATATGTATTAGAAATTATATAATACATTATAAACTAATACATAAAATAAAAAAAACTAATATAAGAAGTATTAAAAAAAATTTAAACTAATATAAGAAGTGTCATAACTCATTAAAAACTCCAAGTAGTGAAAGTCAGGTGTCAATGAAAGGGTTCGGATTTTCAGATAGTGGAAGACAGGTGTGCAGTGCTGAGTGGCCGATCGGTTTTAGTGACGGTAGTATTTAAAGCTAAATTTCAAACTTTGTGCCACTTTTCTGCATGCACCCTTCATCTTCAACCTTCTGAACCTCCACTTTCTCCTCCTTCTCTCTACAATCTCCATCTCCTCTCTATGATTTATCATCCTTTTCTTCTTCCGATCATCATTCAGGCAACGCCTGAGTATTCCTGGTGCCAAGAGCTATACTTTACACCGATCAAGTTGTGATTTAAGCTGGTGAGTACTTCTCTTCTTAGACCGTTCATTTTTCTGTAACATGCAAACCCAAATTCTGGTTGCATGAGTGTATTATCTCATTCTGATAGCAATTCTAGTCTGGTATTTGGTTTAGTTTTTAAATCGGTAAGCTCTGAGTGTATAAGATTGGTAGTGGTGAACCATATCCTGCATCTGTGAACGTTCGGCTACTTTTAGAGGTAAGGGAAGCTTATATAATTTGATTATGATTTCTTGTTCTGAATGGTTGTATGTTTGTTTGATCCATGGATGAATATGAAGTGTTGCTTTCAGTGCATGTTTTGTATATATGAGTGTATGAGTTAAAAATGATGGGAATTGGATGATATAGGGTTTGCTCTTAAGTATGTAAAATTTTGTATAATTATGTATAATCCTGTGGTTGTCACCGAAAGTCATCATTAACCGTTCGGTTTTCCTTTGGGTGTTCGGTCTGGACTGGAATCTTCTTCTGTGGAAAATTTCAGTTAATGATCGATCGATTTTCTCTTAGTATATTTGTAAGTAAGTGTTCGGTCTAAGTATAGTTTCCTCTTTATGCTTCCTAAATAGTTTAGTTAATGTATTCTATAATACTTAAAGTCGTAGATGTTACCTTTATCCTTCAATGAAAATAAGTGTTGTGTAATTGTATATATATATTCCTTCATTTTGATTTAAGTTTAGTAGTGTTCGGTCTTGAACCAAGCGTTCGGTCTCAGTAGTGCTTGGTTTTGAACCAAGCGCTCGGTCTTTATAGTGGTTGGTCTTTAACCAAGCGCTCGGTATTTTTATTATACCCCATTATGTACTCTATTTGAACTAAGAGTGTTCGGTCTAAGTCAATAGTATTCGGTCAAATCTTGTAGGGTTTGGTTTAAGTTCTCAGGTTCCATCAATAGTTATTATAATTTTTGGTTAAGTCTAAATTATATGTATTATTTAGTATTCTGTACATTCTTAAGAGTTATGTCTAGTAAAATATTGTTCTGTAGTAAATGTTGAGTAACCAGTAAAACGTCCAAATATAATCACGAGAGTTCGGCTTATTATGAGTCTTATCTAGGTCCTGTTCTGTGTATAAGTGGAAGATCGTTCGGTCTTACACTAAGTGTCCAGCTGTGTTAGTCTAGAATGTATTCAAAAGGTTCGGTCTTGTCTCTGGAGGAATGTTATTGTTCAGTTTTGATTTCAGATGAGATCTGTTTGTATTGGTTCGGTATGATTGTATTATTGAATATGAATGGAATAGAATGGAAATGAAAGAGTATTCCAGGAAGGAATATCTCATGAATGGTTATTGAATGGTAGAGTATGAATGTGGTTATGCTTAGCTGGAGGTTATCTTGATATTCTGTGATTACTCATTCTCAAGTAGAGAGGAGTAAGTCATGTGTGAGAATGGCAGGAGGTCCTAATCCATAAGGTGAACTTAGACGGAACGGACTAACCTCAGGTGGCAGCTGTTGAGAGCATCCCAGCTATTACATCACCCGGGTGCAAAAACGTCGTAGCTACACAGAATTCATACAGTCCGGACAGTCAGAGTAAAGTAGTCGGTCATTGCATGCTTTGACTTGAAATTTTGATTGGAAGTGCATGATTGGATGTTACATGATTGTATATTGAATTATGTTAGATTTATGTGAAGTATAGGTTTTACTGAATTAATTAAATTACATAAGTTTACCCTATTTTTCTGTCTTGTCTGTATTGTCCGTTCGGTTGTCTTTTCCGGTTTGAATGATCATCCTGTGGATGTTGACAGAAGGAGAAGAGTTGCTGGAAGAGGCTCTAGAAGAAGTGGAAGTGAAAGCGGAACCATAGGACCGTTCGGTCGTTAGGTTGGGTTTTATTTTGTAAAACCGTTCAGTGTAAGCTTAGTTTTGAAACCGTTCGGTCTAGACTGTAGTTCTGTAAAGTTTGAATTCTGTAGTATTTTCGTAAGGTCGTTCGACCATATTTATACCTTTGCTTCTCAGAACTGAACTGTAATATTATTAATTGTGAATATTCTAGATATGGTTTTATGCTATATTTTTTAGATGTTACAATAAGTAAACGTAAACATACAAAATATGAAATGGGGTGCAGCGATGTAGAGGTGGGTGAAGGGATAGAGAGGTACAAAAAATACATGTTTAGTGATTGGAGGAAAATAGAGGTAGAGTCAATAGTGTGTATAGAAATTCTCAATAATAAAAAAATTAAACTTCTAAACCACTTATTCATTAAAGACATTTTAAAAAATTATAAGTGGAGAATGAAATGTTTGAAGTTACATAATGAAACACTCCCATGTAAGACATATTAGACCAAAACATTTTTTAAAAGATCCAGTAATACCTGAATCAACAAAGTATAAACCCAACCTATAACACGTAGATGGAAACCAAAAGCGAAAAAAAAATATATATATATATATATATATATATATATAAAATCGCCTACTTCAAGATTAGTTGTTACCTCAAGCAATATTCTTTGAGCGACTTCTGCAGCCCGTGCTTTGACTGTTGGTGATAATGCATCATGGATTGCCATTGATAGTAGACGTGCAGCTTCATGGATACTTGTGTCATCATTTTTATTAGGAAGCAAATGATTTCTGCTGAGTGGTTCAGGCGAAACGCCAAGCCAATGCATTCTCTCCGCCCAATAAAACTGATCTAGCATGAAAGGGCATACTACCTGCAAGTTTGTTCCACCATATCAATTTCATATCTGATAATAAACTACCATTATATGCATCAGCTTCAAGAGAGTTTTGCTGAGTTGGGTTTGATCTAGCATGGTTTTAACAATGGCTTTTATGGTTTTTATAATGTTGTCATAAATCTTATTATGGTTTGATCTAGCAAGGAATGAAGTGCCAACCTGTGGTGTGCCTGCCCGTAATGCAGCAGCAGTAGTTCCACTAATTGCAGATAGACATTCCATGCAAAACAATATATATTAGTCAGCATGCCTATTGAATGCTTCAATTTAGTGATAAAACCAAAACAGGTGGGGATCAGAATACAGATTATTCTACCTGCCTCCGTGGTGAATTACAGCAGCACACTTTGGGAATAGCCAACCGTATGGTACAGAACTATTCACATTATATGAAAAACATGTCACTCTTCTAGAATTTTTCTTTCATTTAAAAAAAATTGGAAAGGGAACATTAACTTTTGTTAATATCAGAGGAGATAAGAAGGTAAGAAAACATAATCTCAACTTTAAGTGACACTAAACTAAATCAGAAAGCCGAATTTAATTAAATCTAAAATATTGAATGCTAAATCCAAGTTATTCCATTAAAAAGGGAGCCCCTCCAAATGTTTTCTGTAGTAAAATAACCATGGAAAACTCACCCAAAAAAACACAAGAGTCGCCCATTACAAAGAGGAACACAATCGTCGCTGCAATTTTTCAGCTCAAATGATGCTTCGTTAGAAATGCTACGAACAATTGATTCTAAGGGTTCATATCCAGCTGTAAATAGAATAAATCTGTAATTTGTGGTGCTCAGGACAGTCTGAAGAATGCATATAAATGCATATGGGTCTTTTAAGAAACCCATACTGCAAGTAAACACAAAAAAATCAGTAAAAAATATACAAATAAAGACTAAAGCTGAATTTGAATCACCACTCCTTCACGTTGAACACCAATCCAATGTGAGAGGAGGCATGGGTTTAACATGAATTGGAATGTGGAAAATGGTACCTTCCAATAGAACTGAGTCCAATAAAAATTGGTGCAGTCTTTATAAAGTTTTGCAATTCTAAATGACTGGCACACAAGTCATCTTTAGCATATTGATGCGCTGATGAATCATGTACGGAAATATCTCTGCATTTCTTACACGTGAACTGCCATTCAATAGGGAGGAACCAGAACCCACAAACCAGAACTTTTGAAGGCCAATATGCTGTCAATGCACTAAATTTAATCAGGTGATTAAACCAACAATCTAAAGACAAGTTTATAGAGAATGGGAATTGGATGATATAGGGTTTGCTCTTAAGTATGTAAAATTTTGTATAATTATGTATAATCCTGTGGTTGTCACCGAAAGTCATCATTAACCGTTCGGTTTTCCTTTGGGTGTTCGGTCTGGACTGGAATCTTCTTCTGTGGAAAATTTCAGTTAATGATCGATCGATTTTCTCTTAGTATATTTGTAAGTAAGTGTTCGGTCTAAGTATAGTTTCCTCTTTATGCTTCCTAAATAGTTTAGTTAATGTATTCATAATCTTAAACGTCGTAAGATGTTACCTACCTTATCCTTCAATGAAAATAAGGTGTTTGTGTAATTGTTATATATATATTCTCATTTTCTTTGAATTTAAGTATTTCAGTTTAGTAGTGTTCGGTTCTTGAACCAAGCGTTCGGTCTCAGTAGTGCTTGGTTTTGAACCAAGCGCTCGGTCTTTATAGTGGTTGGTCTTTAACCAAGCGCTCGGTATTTTTATTATACCCCATTATGTACTCTATTTGAACTAAGAGTGTTCGGTCTAAGTCAATAGTATTCGGTCAAATCTTGTAGGGTTTGGTTTAAGTTCTCAGGTTCCATCAATAGTTATTATAATTTTTGGTTAAGTCTAAATTATATGTATTATTTAGTAATTTGTACATTCTTAAGTAGTATGTCTAGGTTAAATATTGTTCTGTAGTAAGTATAGTAAGTAGAAACCAGTAAAACGTCCAAATATAATCAAGGAGGGAGTTCGGCTTATCTGAGTCTTATCTAGGGTCCTGTTACTGTGTATAAGTGGGAAGATAGTTCGGTCTTACACTAAGTGTCCAGCTTGTGGTTGTTTTGTTAGTCTGAGAAATGTATTCCACAAAGGTTCGGTCTTGTCTCTGGAGGAATGTTATTGTTCAGTTTTGATTTCAGTGAGGATCTGTTTGTTATTGGTTCGGTATGATTTGTATTATTGAATATGAAGGTGGAATAGAATGGAAATGAAAGTAGTATTCCAGGAAGGAAAATATCCATGAATGTTATGAATGGTAGAGTATGAATGTGGTGTATGCTTAGCTGGAGGTTATCTTGAATTTGTGATTACTCATTCTAAGTAGAGAGGAGTAAGTCATGTGTGAGGGAATGGCAGGAGTCCTAATCCATAGGTGAACTTAGACGGAACGGACTAACTCAGGTGGGGACAGGTTTTTCTGTTTGAGGAGCATCCACAGCTATTACATCACCCGGGTTGTGTTTTCAAAAAAAAACAGTCGTTTTAGCTACACAGAATTCATTACAGTCCGGACAGTCAGAGGGTAAAAAGTGTCGGTCATTGCATGGCTTTGCTTGAATTTTTGATTGGAAGTGCATGATGGAGTTACATGCTTGTATTATTGAATTATGGTTTAGATTTATGTGAAGTATAGGTATTTATCTGAATTAATATTAAATTACATAAGTTTAATCCCTATTTTTCGTCTTGTCTGTTGTATGTCCGTTCGGTTGTTCTTTTCCGGTTTGAATTTTGATCATCCCTGTGGATGATTGACAGAAGGAGAAGAGTTGCTGTGAGAGGCTCTAGAAGAGAGAATGGAAGTGCGGAAAGGGGGAATGGTGAACGGAAACCATAGAGGAACGTTTCGTGTCGTTAGGTTGGGTTTTATTTTGTAAAACCGTTTCCAGTTTGTAAGCTTAGTTTTGAAAACCGTTCGGTCTATCCCTAGACGTTTTTAGTTCTGTAAAAGTTTGAATCGTGTAGATTTCGTAAGGTCGTTCGACCGACCATATTTATACCTTTGCTTCTCAGAATGAACTGTAATATTATTATTGTGAAATATTAGATATGGTTTTATGTCTATATTTTTTAGATGTTACAATTAAAGTAAACGTAAACATACAAAATATGAAATGGGGTGCCATGCGATAGTAGAGGTAGGTGGTGAAGGGATAGAGAGGTACAAAAAATACATGTTTAGTGATTGGAGGAAAATAGAGGTAGAGTCAATAGTGTGTATAGAAATTCTCAATAATAAAAAAATTAAACTTCTAAACCACTTATTCATTAAAGACATTTTAAAAAATTATAAGTGGAGAATGAAATGTTTGAAGTTACATAATGAAACACTCCCATGTAAGACATATTAGACCAAAACATTTTTTAAAAGATCCAGTAATACCTGAATCAACAAAGTATAAACCCAACCTATAACACGTAGATGGAAACCAAAAGCGAAAAAAAAATATATATATATATATATATATATATATATAATATATATATATATATATATATAGATATTCCAAAGAAAAAAAAGTTTTATGTTTATGATAATATTATCTGTCTACATTTTATTTTATTGATACAAATATTTGGCTTCATATTTTACACACATACTTAGATAAGATAGTCACACCGTAGTTTCTTAGTGAATACCAATTTTGGCTATATTTAAATAATTTTTTTCAATAAATCCATATATTATATAATAT